GAAAAACATTTCCAAATGGAGATTTTAAATCTACACTGTTTTAACGTTCTAAAGTCCTTCATCCTTTTTGGCCATATCCTAAATTACAGACAGAGAAGTTGAATGTTGTCATTTGTTTATGCTTGATGCAACCTCGCTAGCTAGAATCTGAACATTGCAATCAATGTCTGAGTACATTCCTACCTTTTAAACAACCTTGATCTGATTTCAGACACTATGACTGAAGTTACCAAAACCTACATCTATGGCAGGGATGTAAAACCAACTCAAGGGCCAGTGTTTAACAGCTTTTCGATTGCTCCCTAACCCCAAATCCGAAGGGCTTAAATGCATCCTCTGTTGAAATCAAGTTCTTCAGAAGAAAAATTGCAAAGGACTTCATTATTTGATTCAGGTGTGTTAAAAAAGAGATGCATCTAAAATGTGGAGCACACTGGCCCTCGATGACTGTATTCTGACATCCATGATCTAGAGGTTTTTACCCAAAAAACTGGTTTATACAGTCTGCTTTCTTGCATACTGTAAAGGTAAAGTTGAGATTTTGAGGACCCAAATGCGCAGGCGAGGAGACAGAGGTGAGTTCTTGAAGATTTATTTGAAAAACTAAGGCAAAACTCCAAAAACCAACGTACAAAATACGCGGAACCAAACATCATGGGAGAACTCACGTAGGGGGCCAGGAAAAGACTATGTCGAAGAATATGTATGGGAGACTGAACAAAGACAGGACTACTGAGCTGACCGGGAGCAGGTGTGAACAGAGGATTCTAGAAAGGAGCTAGGGGAAAGAAGACCAACACAAGAGGGCAGTAAAGAAATACCAAAGAACTCAAATCTATCCATAAAACACCACAAAATAGGAATTAAACCAATAAAACAAAGAAAAACATGGATCAATGTGAAACGGAAAACTTAAACAGAACCAAGACTGTGACAGATTGAAAAAAAGCTACAACACAACTAAAAACTAACAAAAACTACATAATTTCCAGAAAATTAATAAAAAAATGTGTTCTGTTTGTAGCATCAGACATTTTCCATGCAGGTTGTAGTTTTTTTTTTTTTTTTTTACGTATTTGTGTACTGTTATATTAAGTCTAACAACCCATGTGTTTTAGAAACTCTTCTTAAGCTTTTTACTTGGTTATTATTTTCTGCTTTGTTAAACCTGCTGTTGGGACCGTAGATGGAGATCAGATGGAGAAATATAAAAATAGAATCTAGTGCAGTAAATCTTTCCTCTTTAAGCTTATTGCTTGCAGTGCATGCTCCCGGTTAATGAATTAAAAGTCGCAACTCATTAAAAGTTGTAACTCTTTTGGTGCCTGCGTTATGGTCTTGGCACTGATGGCTGGATTAATTGTTCATTCCAATTACCTGTATATTTTGCGTGGTTGTTCGTTACCATTTTGTCTGATCCTCCTGGTTCCTGCTGCTATTTATGCTGCCTGTTTGCCTGCCATCAGTGCCAGATTATTCAAGCTGTTTGTGAGAGTAACTCTAGCATTTCTATATTATTCTGATTCTCTGATCCTGACCTGTTTCTGCTTTTGGGACTTTAGAGTTTTTGCCTGTCCCCTGTATTTGCTCTGTTAGTCAGATCAGTTCTGGACAGATTCCTGGATTCTGCCGGCTTACCGAACTTCAACCTGTCTTCTGACTCTGGCTTTGGGTTTTCCCTTACGGATACTGCTACTGCTCGCCATGGGCTGACACCTGCTCAATAGTCTGCTTCTCTCATTCACTCGGAACTCTGGGGAGCGGCTCCTAACACAAGCAGTGGAGAAACCTACTGTTTGGATTCTGCTCCTCCAAACTGATCTCAGAACAAGGTTAGTGACTTATGCTCAAAGTTGTGCCCCGTCTTAGATTTAAAGTCACTAACCTGAGTTTCAGAGAATCCAGTGATCCCACTGCAGTTAACCAGCAGCCCTGCATCCTGTATTTAAAGTAAATGTTTTGAACTTTCCCACTGTCTGTCTCGCCTGAATATTGGGTCCTAAATTCTAAGATCACTACAGTGTGATGGATGCTACAACTATGCTGGACAATTTGTAAATGGGAGAATTAGGAGGGAAGATGTTTTCAGGGGTCCTGAAATGACGCAAGTTTTGATGACTGCCTCATGAGCAGATTCAACTACATAGAGCATTGCCCTGGGATCTATGTGCTGGACAGACCAACCTGTTTTTTACATGCTCACGTAAGAAACAAAAGGGAAGATGTGCAGCTTCTGGGTATCTTAGGAAATGGCTCTCTCTCTCCCTGAAGCCCTTTTTAGGAAAATTATAAGTATCCACAGATTCCACTTTAGCAGGTCATTATCAGATAGTGCAGTTATAAATTTAAAGAATCTGTTTCACTTTCTCTCTCCTCTGTGTCGCTGAGCAGTGCTGCAGAAAACTTAGTTTATTCCCCTTTACAGGTTGATGATTTTGTTGATGGGGTTGCTAGTTCTCTGCGTACTGCCTTAGACAACGCAGCCCCTTTGAAAATGAAAACCGCTAAAAATAGAAAGCTTGCTCCTTGGTTTAATGGTGAATTGTAAAGTGCCTTGAGATGACATGGTGTGTATTGGTGCTAGATAAATAAACTGAGTTAGATCTGAGATATAGCAGCCAGACGTCCTTGTTAATATGATTGCCCGCCCCCCCCCCCCAAAAAAAAGAAAAAAAAAAAAGGAGGAAGGTCAAACATGAGCGTCTCAAATCTGAAAAACATACAAATACGATCTATCTTTAAGCATCACACAACAACCATCACCAAGACGTCTACATTGCTGGTTTACTGCTGTCTGCTGCGTAACGTCCCCACCTGCACGAAGCCAGCCAGGCACCCACTCACACATAGTACCGTAGGTCTACAACGCAAGCCCGGGTGTTGTCAAACCACCAATATAAAAAAATACAATAGCAGACAGGCAGTTCTTCAAGAATGAATACATGAAAGCTCAGCGGTGTCTAAGCACTGACTGCCAGTGTCAATGTCAATGTGCCTGTCAACAATGCACGTAAGACAGGAAACATTAGCCTTAAGATGCAAAACCCCATCATGCACCGCAACATAACTTTGCAAAATATTTCAGCATAAATTCACCAAATATAAGAGGAAAATCGTAGTTTGGTTTAAAGAAAGCATTTTAGTTTTATTATCATTTCATTTGTTGCAAGGATTTTACAGTTAGAAATAGAAAATGACACCATATGCCAACCGTCATAAGGATGTGCATGACAAGGAAGGGCTATATATGCTGTATGTATCATCTAGGTAGTTAACACAGGATTACTTCTTAGTGGGAGTAATGACATTACATATTATGGCATTATTAACTGCATTACTTCTTTTTTAAGATCATTCATTACTTTTCACATATTGGTAATACTATTATGTTACTTCCATTCTAACTCAGTGCACGACTTCATCTGGATCAATTAAAAAGTCCTTTTAAAAGTGTGTCTGCTCTGGATTTTTACTGTCTGAGGAGCTGCAGTGGGAGGGTGTTTAGCATAACTTCAAAACAGACTGATAGGAGAGCTGATGGCACAGAGCCACTAATCAGTGACAGCGTTCCTCCAAACAAGCACTTGTTAAAGTAAAAGCTAAATGTCTCTGAGATTTGGAAATTATGTGTGGCAACAAAGACTTTATATAAATCATTTAGAAATATTTTTTATTCAAAGAAGCTCCTCACAGCTTTCCAAAACTGACTGACTGTTGGATGCAGACATGTGGGTCTTTACTTTCTAAGTTACTTACTTTTTTCTGGAACAGTGTTACAGCCTGTTTTATTGTATTCCAAAGTATATTGTGTTAAAATTCTTGAAAAGCATTATTTTTAACTTTATACCTATTTCACAGCAAGTTAAGACAAACTTGTTAAAATATTAAGTTGTGCAACATATAATTGTTTTACAAAACATAATCACATAGTGGTGTTTTAATTTACTTGTCCAGCCACATAAACCAAAATGGTGAAGATTAGTATAAAATTTACTTTTGAAATTAATAAAACATTATATCTCTAACAACTGAACCTCCAATTATATTCAAAGTTGAGTGACAGGAAAGTTATCCATCTCCTCTGGCATTTCAGGTCAGAAAAAGTAACTGCATTGTAACTTTGATCGATAACTAGTTACTTTGATTCTGTAGTAACTGAGTTATTGTACACTAACTTAGCAACATGTGTGTATGTGTTAATGTTTATGTAGTGTAAGAAACATTAGCAGCTTCATTTACCATTGTTTTTCGTTCTCCTACACATTAGGCAAAAAGTTTTTGTTGGAATAGAGACGGGCTTTGAGATAGCAAAACAGGCTAAGGTTAGCAACCATCCCTACATGATATAAATCAAAGAGTAGAACCAAAATCACTATGTGGAGATTGGCTTTAATTGACGTTTTTGGTTTAAACAAAAAACACCAACAAGTCCGGCATTGTATTTTCTGCAAGGTTTTAATTTTTAACAGCCCACACGTTTAAAACATGAAGAAGGTGGATTCCCAGCTAACGAAAACTTCAATCTGCAGATGCAGTTCTAAAAGTAAATTTAATGTTGTAGATGTATGTGGAGAAATACTGATTTTAGCATCTTCAAAAAGACCCTGAGAAAATTCCTGTCAATGTAATCGACTTTAGATTTGTTTAGACCTTGTTTAGTTCCAGGCTAGGAAACACTGAGGAAGCAGGTCTCTGAGACCCTAAGGAAACTGCATGGCTGACATTTGACACATTTATCATAAATATGATTTGTTCCAACACCATTTAGATCTTAGTACGATAATACAGGTTGTATAACTAGAAGCTACATATCAGATAGATAGATAGATAGATAGATAGATAGATAGATAGATAGATAGATAGACAGACAGACAGACAGACAGACAGACAGACAGACAGACAGACAGACAGACAGACAGACAGACAGACAGACAGACAGACAGACAGACAGACAGACAGACAGACAGATAGATAGATAGATAGATAATCAGCCCTCTTACCTGGATCTTGATTGGCCAGCTGAAGTTGGACACATACACGTAAAATGTGATGTTCTGGTGAAGTCTGAAGTTAAACTTCTCACATGAGAAGCTGTCCCTGTGCTCCTTGATGTTAGTCCTTGTGATGATGGACATCTCTTCTCCAGATATGGTACCAGCTATGGATGACACAAACATTGTATTGTTGATTAAACTAGGAGCACTTCAAACAGAGCTTACCTCGATTTTCCGACCAATTACAGCTGTGTGAACAGGACTAAGAATGCAGGCAGCTTTGCAAACTAATAAATAGTTCATTCTTAATTTGAGGTAGAATGACTTGTGCTTGGTTTCACAGGAAAAAGAAGAAACTTTGTTGTCTGTCTGTAAAGAAGGTGAGGAACGCATCCAAGGTAAAGTTTCTCCCCGTCCCAATGAATAACTCCAGTTCCAGAACCAAGCTCTCTCCATGCAGCTGCTTCCTCCTTTCCCATTCAGCTGGTATGTTGAATTCCCATCAGCAGCGAGACTAAAATTGATTTCTACTTTATTAGGCTTATACACCATGTTCTGGATAAATCTTCTAGACTTAGTGGGAAAAAAAGGTGATCATCAGTTGTGATGTGAAAGGGGAACACCGGCTAGGGGAAAGGAGTCAGGCTGAAGGGGGCAACAGAGAGTAACCAAAGACTGGCTTAAATATAACACACAATGAATAATAAACCAAAGATCAACAAAACAGAATAAATGACAACTGAAAACCAAAAACTCAGAGTCCCAAAAGGGGAAACCATAACAGCAAATACAATATTGTCAGACGAATGTCACCATATCCTTTATGCTGTAATGCATTCTTGGTGAACAACTCATAATAGTTTCTGACTACACACACACGTACACACATACCATTCCTTACCCATTGCAGCTGGTCTTCCCCCCTTTTTTCTCCAACCTCTACCAGAGGTAGAGTAATATATACACTCACCGGCCACTTTATTAGGTACCCCATGCTAGTAACGGGTTGGACCCCCTTTTGCCTTCAGAACTGCCTCAATTCTTCATGGCATAGATTCAACAAGGTGCTGGAAGCGTTCAACAGGGAGTTTGGTCCATATTGACATGATGGCATCACACAGTTGCCGCAGATTTGTCAGCTGCACATCCATGATGCGAATCTCCCGTTCCACCACATCCCAAAGATGCTCTATTGGATTGAGATCTGGTGACTGTGGAGGCCATTTGAGTACAGTGAACTCATTGTCATGTTCAAGAAACCAGTCTGAGATGATTCCAGCTTTATGACATGGCGCATTATCCTGCTGAAAGTAGCCATCAGAAGTTGGGTACATTGTGGTCATAAAGGGATGGACATGGTCAGCAACAATACTCAGGTAGGCTGTGGCGTTGCAACGATGCTCAGTTGGTACCAAGGGGCCCAAAGAGTGCCAAGAAAATATTCCCCACACTATGACACCACCACCTCCAGCCTGAACTGTTGATACAAGGCAGGATGGATCCATGCTTTCATGTTGTAGACGCCAAATTCTGACCCTACCATCCGAATGTCGCAGCAGAAATCGAGACTCATCAGACCAGGCAACGTTTTTCCAATCTTCTATTGTCCAATTTCGATGAGCTTGTGCAAATTGTAGCCTCAGTTTCCTGTTCTTAGCTGAAAGGAGTGGCACCCGGTGTGGTCTTCTGCTGCTGTAGCCCATCTGCCTCAAAGTTCGACGTACTGTGCGTTCAGAGATGCTCTTCTTCCCACCTTGGTTGTAACGGGTGGTTATTTGAGTCACTGTTGCCCTTCTATCAGCTTGAACCAGTCTGGCCATTCTCCTCTGACCTCTGGCATCAACAAGGCATTTGCGCCCACAGAACTGCCGCTCACTGGATGTTTTTTCTTTTTCGGACCATTCTCTGTAAACCCTAGAGATGGTTGTGCGTGAAAATCCCAGTAGATCAGCAGTTTCTGAAATACTCAGACCAGCCCTTCTGGCACCAACAATCATGCCACGTTCAAAGTCACTCAAATCACCTTTCTTCCCCCTACTGATGCTCCGTTTGAACCGCAGGAGATTGTCTTGACCATGTCTACATGCCTAAATGCACTGAGTTGCCGCCATGTGATTGGCTGCTTAGAAATTAAGTGTTAACGAGCAGTTGGACAGGTGTACCTAATAAAGTGGCCGGTGAGTGTATATTACTCTTGGGAAGTAGTATTTGCCATGTTAATTTGTGATGTTTAAAACAATTTTAAAACATTAAAAAAGTCATAGTTTATTTAAATTTCTTATGTCTGGGTAGGGCTGGGCGATAATTCAATAACGATATATATCAATCGATAGACGTGTGGCGCAATAGAAAAAAAGAGGGTCGATAAAAGTTCCATAAAAAAACGCAGTTTTCCTTCCTTCTCATTGTAGCCTAGCATGTAGGTTTATGCTGGTCACTGCTTCCTCCCAACCAGTCGCAATCGCGGACCCAGGCACGCCGTCACCAAGCGCCGCCCTCTCAAACCACAACACAGAGCACATGAAGCTGTGCAGCAAGGAGAGGCGGAGGAAATTGTTTCAAAGAAGGGTTTTTGTAGTTCGGCAGTCTGGCAGTATTTCGGTCATGGCAAGTCGGACCAAAAACAAACCACAGTCATCTGTAAAATGTGTCGGGAACCAGTGAAAACCAAGTCTGATAACACAACCAACTTTTTTTTTTTTTTTATCATCTCAGCCGCTCACACCCGCAGGAGTACGAGCTGTGTAGGCCCAGACGCGGCTCTCCTCCGAGGAATCTTCGGGGAAAAAAAAAAAATAATAAAAAAAAAAAATATATATATATATATATATATATATATATATATATATATATATATATATATATATATATATACACATCTATATGTGTCTGGGTATTCATACCTTGAAGATATACAACACAGATCTTTAAGCCTAAACATTCAGTTAAGTTTGATAAACAATACAAATATTACAGACCAAAAGCAAAAGTGGATTTGTGAAATTGGATGAATTTTTGACTTTGTAATTGTTTCTGAGATGAGTTCCAATTGTCCAAAGGATGGGGTTAGTTGCAACTGTTATTTTTTATCTTCTTTAAATAAATTTTGTGAAAAATCTGTTCTATACAAGGGCGTAGGTTTGATTTCAACTTTGGTAGGGACACTATTCTTCAGTTTCGTTGGTCCTTTGCAAAAAATATGCATGCTCTTTTTTATGCTTAATGTGAGCTTCAGGGCTCATTAATACAAATCTTATAAGCACTACATGCAATAGATGCTGTTTATCAATATCATCACTCGCTCTGATGAATGTGAAATTAGAACTTTTTCCACTTTGAAAAGGATTGCATTTAAATTTACCTGCGACTAAGACAGTGTCTGTTTCACCAAATATCGTCTATAATGTGTGGATTTATCCTGTGTTTTCTTCTGAAGATAGAGAATTGTGCAGAGGTAAACAGAGGTAAAACCCACTCTTATTTTTTTTTTATCTAATATGCTCTCTCTGGATCATGTAAAATAATACATTCAAGGGACGGCAAATAAATGATTTGTATTTACATGTGCACTGGAACTATAAGAGGAACTGACACTGAGCATTTAAAATATTAATATTAGAAGTTGTACATCTGGGCTGTAGTTACTCTGTGTAGATAATTTCATGTATTTTATCTATGGCTGAAACAATTAATCATATTAACAAATTCTTTAAATAATCGTGAACTAATTTAGTAATTGATTAATCGTTAACTGTAGTATAGGGCCACTAAAATGTGACTTTAGCCGACAGAGCGACCCACTTAGAGCAGGAATTATACCAAGATTGTAAAAAAATATGTAAACATTTTGCATTTAAGAAGTAAAAAAAAAAAGTTTTTATCTGTCAATATTCTCCATCCAGAACTCCTCCAAAGGAAACGTTTCTGTTTCACCTGGTTTCATTTCATAAAGGATCTTCTTTAAGGAGCCTTTGGCTATCTGATTAAAAGATAAAATAAAAGAAATCCTAACGTTGTTAACTTACATTTCTCAAGTTCCACAAATCAAAAAACTCTCTCCTGCTTCTTTACAGAACTCCAATCAGAAGCTTTCGCCTGTTTTAGATAATATTTTTTTTAATTTAGACTAGTTTCGTAGCCCAATATTAATTTATTTTAGCGACTTTTTTTTCGCGCTCCAAGCACCCGCGCGCGCGCACATACAGACTAGAAAACACGCAATCAGAAAGAGAGAAGGCGGAACTTAAGGCAGAATAATCAGAGAGTTAAACCGCGCAGCACAGTTGATGCGCTGCTATGTGAAAGGGACAGGAAAGAGCAGGCAGCTGCAGCTACCAGGCAGAGAAGCTGCGAGAGGAAAAGAAGCGGCTGCTGTATAGTAAATTATAAACATGTTGTTTACATCTAATTATTGGTAGGGACAAATAGGTCCTTCAAAAATTTTGGTAGGGACATGTCCCTATGGTCCCTATGCAAACCTACGCCCATGGTTCTATATAATTATATTTAACCCATTAACTATCAGTTTCTTTCCGATGTGTTTGGCGTTCCAAATTTGCCCTCTCATACTGCCGCCATGAGGTTACTGTTCATCCTTATATATGTTTTGTTACTACCAACACCTGTAGTGTTTGTTACTACCAACGAATCATCATCACCTCAGAGGAGTATATAAGCAGCTGACTGTCATCACCTCTTCGCCAGAGTGTTTGCCTGTTTTGGGAAACCTTCAGATGCTCTGGGATTTTTCGAGTCCTTCCAGCCCTGGAAGAAATTATCTAGAGACGCCAAGAGTTCCACAACTCCTCTCCTCTGAGTTCAGACCACATCAAAGTCTCCAGTTGACCCTCTGCTCCGCTGCTCCTCTGTGCTACCATAAACTTACCTGTCCGCCTTCCAACGTCTCGTCCACCTTCAACCAGCCAAGATGCCAACAACTGGAAACACGTACCACCCTCCGATTCTGGCAGCTAGTTCAAGTACGAACAGAGCATTCAGCCTTCTGCAATTTGCCCATCAACTGTGATCTCACCTCACCACAGAAAGACACAGCAGAAACAATCCATAGAGCTCCTTATCAGCAACAAACTTTAATACAGAAGCATTAGACCACTCTTCAAGAACTGTGTAGCCGACAAGCTGAAACAAATAGTCACATAGCGGA